TTCTGAAGCTTTTGATTTACTGAATTCAGTATTAACTGCACAAAATCAGGAATAATCTGTGGTGAATATTTGTCAAATATCAAGGTATTTCCCAGTGTCACATTCTATATAAATTGTGTGAATAATATGTTTCCCCTATTTGGGATGATTTAATTGCATTATCCTTCACCCACCTATACACTTTCATAATTAGTAAACACAAGCTTAATATCCAAACTTCATGCTTCAATATCTTTAATTGAAAAATGGTCATACTATGTTTAAAGCTGGAATACTGTGACTTATCCTAACATTTCAATGTAAATTCCTACAGTGATATGTTTTCACAAAGTACCTCCCTCTCCAGGAATGGCCCTTGAAGAGGCTCCTCCTTTTATATCTCATCACATAATTGGCTGGCTACTTCTAGACCTTCCTAGTCAAGATAGAGTCCAGGTGGCTGACAGATCATTTTAAACTTAATATAAATTTTATTTTAACAAAAGTTGTCTTGTCACTGAAGTGACAAGGTGGATGACATGATAAAGCATCATTGTGATTTCCTCATGATCAGTTTCAAAAGTGATGGGGGAAATTATGCATTTTAAGCACTGAATTTTTTGATCATATAAGATTTCTGGAACTCTAATATGAAAAAAACAAAACAATTTACCAACTTCTCTTTTAAATTGTGATTTCTTCATGCATTTGAGAAAAGTTTTTTTCTCAAAATAACTTCAGGTATGAACTCGAGGTCATGTTTGAAACCTTCAAATATGAAGCGTTGTTAATATAATGGAAAACGCACAAAATAATTAGTCATCAGCATTATCCACCTTTTCGTGATTTCCCAGTAATCTCTTCTATAAAAGAAAGCCTCATCAGAACTTTAAGATTTTATTTTATTGAGAATTTTTCCTTATGAAAATTGCTAAACACTGAATTGTATTTTTCAAATCCATATAGTGATTAACTTATGTCTCACATTTTCCTGAAGGTTCTAAATTTTATTTTAGAATATTTGTGATAATAGAGATTGTCTTCCTTAAAACCAGTGTGTCCAAAATGATCTCTGACAACTTAATACAATGGCAGATCCTCTTAAATTTCAAATAAAAAAACAAACACACAAACAATAATACCCAAACTAAAACTGCAATTCAACACAGAAAACAGACTTTACTGAGAAGTACAGTGTGAATAAAGGATCACTTGGTGATATACGAGACCATAAACTATTTCTAAGGATAAAACTTATTTCCAGAGAACTCTGGGGTTCTAGGGATTTCAGCGGAGAGTGACAGTGAATTCAAAACGACTAGAAGTGAAGATAGATTCCACCAATGTTTAAAGTGAAATGATTATAGTTATTAATAGTTTCTGGTAAAATGTAGATTGTTTTGAAACATTCTAAATTATAAGAGTAAAGCCTTATGTATTTACATACTGATGGGCACAAGAATGTTTCTGAAAGGAGATGCATATCTTCATGTTTGGAAAAAATATTTTAAAACTATACAATATGACAATTTGTTGCTTTCTAGATCTTAATGCTCCTGTATTAACATCTAAGAATCGTGGATCATTTTTCCAAAAATGTGATTTAAAGTGGTAGATTTTTCTGCATAAATTCATGATTTAGTATGTATGTTATTAGGTTATACGAAAGGTAAGACAACTGCTGAAAAGAGCAGTAAAGTTGAAAAATACTAAGATGGTAAATGTTTTTAAAGAGAAAACCAAGATGTTGAAATCAAACAAGTAAGAACTTCACAAGTAGAGTCTAGAAATTAGCTCAGAGAAACAAACTGGCATCAACAAAAGGAGCTTTCTGACCAACATCTCACCGCCAGGTAAGGGCTGCCAGGGACTGGGATGGGCCTGAGAGGAGCTCATAGTAGAACCTGAACAGAGAACATGACAATGTTCTGCGTGCTAAGCAGGGCTCTGGGCCATTAGAGCTGTCACTTCACACAGCCTTTCCTTTAAACACAACATCCCCCTCGCCCAACTGCAGGCCTGTTCTCCAGAGGGAAGGACTTCCTCCCCACTGCGCCTGGGCCACAGGCCCTGCAGGATGGCCTTCGCCCCCTCCCCGGCCCGGCTTCCTCAGTGACCTGGGGCTCTGGAAGCAGCACAGGGCACAGACACACGTTTAAGGACCTGCCAGGTCTATGGCATGATGCTGGGCCAGGCGTGCGTTTTTCTCTCCCACAGATGCTGCAGTATTTTCAAAAACAGGGTTAGGCAAGCCCCTCCCTCTCTTCATTTCCTACAAGACCCCGCCTAATGGCCACCAGAGAAGTCCAGCTTCTGCCCCACAGTCATGTCATCAATAACATCTGATTACAGATGTCACAGTTTCAATTTTCTTTATTTTATGTTAAGGAAGAGAAAGGTCCTATTTTGAAAAAAAACAACAAAACAACAAAAAACAAAAACAAGTGGAGCTGACACAACAGATTGTAACAGATTTATTACTACTTATCATGGTAAATATGTATGAAAGAAAACATAAATGTCTTTATCTAGTCATAACCACTCCAAAGGAAACCTTTTATTAACCGTAATTTTTGTTATTTGTTATGAAAATATTCATATATATTGACGTTTTAGAGGTGTCTCTTATCAAATAAATATTCATAAGTGTATCTGAGCTTAAAAAAAAGAATTAAACATAGCAGAGATCTAAAAATACATAAATATAGATCTACTGGGGCAGAAGTGTTACAGTGTCTACTACAGACCATCTCTTGGGGTCAAAATAAAATATACATTTTGTGTGATGGTAACGCATATAATCAACACATACAACAAAGCTAATATAAACTAAGTTACACTGCTATTTAAACAGAGCTAGATTATTTTTAAAGTAATGATAATAGATTATTGGATTCCAAAAATCAACCAAGGTATCTTATTCTTCTGAGTAAAACACAAAGTCAAACACACACAAAAGGGTAAAATTTCCATTTCAACAGAATTTCCCTCCTTGTCTTTCAAAAAAGGTACCCTATTTACCAGATGTTCTACAAGGACCACTAAAACGTGTAGCCAAGATACACTTTCTATCAATAGTAATTCCTAAACTGATCATCAAAACCCCAAAATTAAATAAAGCAAACTAAATTTCCAATTCCAGATCTATACAGAAGGAAAATATACTTTAATATTTGTTAACATATCAGCAACACATAAATTGTCTTAATAGCAATTAATAGAATAGCAAAGAAAAATTTGCTATTAAGACAAATTTCTATAGTGGCCAGTTCCCTCCAGGGAAATACTTAAAAATATACAATGAATTATGAGAAATTGTTAACAATGAATAAGCAGATAGATAATTTCTAATGCCACACCAAAGCACCCCTTAGAAACTACAGATTTCTGCATTATTTTAGCGTTGGGGGAAAAAAACAAACACCTAAATGTATTTGAATATGAGGCATAAATAGGGCATTATTGCTTTAAGTTTTGCTTGGCTTTTATACCACAGAGCTCTTCTATCATTTCAGAACATTCAAAGGTTCACTTATTGTACTTAATGCTGTCCATATTAGGTTTAAGCATGTTTAAAATGTAAACAGCTGTGAGGACTATATCATTTCAAGTTTTCATAAAGCTATTAAGAGCTAAAATTTCATCTACATTAAATCCACCAGAAACTTCAAGCTTAAAATATGCTTATAAAAACTTAAGGGGATATTAGTCAATTTCAATTCAACATAGAAAAATCAAAGAATAAACACTCAGTACATTTTAAGTGACTTATTGGTAGTCCAAAGTGACTATTTTATATGTATTGGCAGTTTTATTTACACTATTTTTCTATATTTATGGATACTTTTGTGACACCTCTTCAACATGGCCAAGTCCATGATAATCAGCATACAAAATTTGCCCCCCCCCATAAGAGTTATTCTGATATATTCACTTAATAACTTTTTAGATGAACTGAACTGTAATCAAGTCAAATACACAGGTGTTTGGGTTAATCTAACAGTGCATTTGCAAAAACTAGTATTCTTCCATTTTATTAAAAATAAAATAAAATAAAAAGCAAAAATTACTTAGTAATATATTTTCAGAAATATAAACACAATTTATTTTAGAATGTGAGAACTTACAATAGGCCCTTTATCATTCTTTTCAAAGAATACTAGTGTCCTACAGAACAAAGATTTAAATTATAATATCTATCTCATGGAAAGGAAAGAAGAATTGGGAGGGGGGATAGAAAGGAAGGAGAAAAAAGAAGAGAGGAACTCATATTTGTATTCTATGTGAAGAAATTATTAGAAATAGACCAGTTTTAAATAATAATAAAAAGAAACAGGACCTCGAATCTGAAAATATATGTAAGAAATGAAAATAAGATATCACATATTTCTTTGTGATCACAACCACTGTTTGCTGTGCTGGGGACTGGAGGGACCTCAGCCACTCCTGCATTTAGCTCGCTATGAGAAAGACCCAGAATGCTTTTGGTTACAGCTGGATTCTTCTTGCTGTCACCTGGTGTTCCAGACACAAATGGCTACCGAAGCAGCTACCTTTGCAGTCTTATTCAGTAACCTCTTTAGAAAATAGAGACATTCTCTATGCACTCTGGGCTGAAAACCATGTAAATTTTTCCTAAATCCTCTCCACAAATCTCCTTTCGCATGCAAATCCATAAATCATCATAATACTGACAAAGAATTTAACCAACACATGAAACTAATACTCATTCTCTTGAAAGCTCCGCACAGGTAAAACTCCTGGACCTTCAGGCACCTTTTCAAGGCTCCCTTCAGAGCTTCACCTGCTGAATACCCACACAACCACCCAGTCTTGCAGAACATGCCATAAATCACTCCAACGTGGGTCCGGTGGCTGCACGTGCAGGGCATTCCTTCCTCATCCACATTCTAGATAACCTTGCAGCTCTGGCGCACGGAACCTCATTTCCTCCTGTTGCCCTCACATCTCACAAAACAATGAAATTAACCATATTCAAAGCAGAAACCAGCAGTACTTACTGAAGATGGCAAACCTGGAGGAACTTTCCGAACTTTCTTTGTCTGTACCTCTGAAAGGAAATGAAGAGTCTGTGAGCTCCCTGCAGGCCCAGTTTCCTAACTAAAGCAGCTTAAACCACGAAGCCTTTTAGATTAGGCCAGATTTTCTTAAATCGTTATCTTAGCAAAATGTTGCTACCATGACCGCCTTTTATCCTGGCAGAAATCAAATTCTGCCTTTTTCATAAAAGTGCACATATTCAACTTTTTAATACTCTGATTGTTCAAAATGTTTCTCATATGGGCCGCGAAGAGAACATAAGAAATAAGCGCTCACCACAATAGCTCTTCCTCTGCTATAGGTTGTTAACATACCCCACCCAATGCGCTACTGAGGGGGAATCATGAGCCTGACAATTGAGCAAAATTTCATGATTTTTTTTCTTTTTTGGGGGGGACAGGATGAGAGAGTGGTATTAAAAAAGACAGAAAAAAGAGACTACTAAGAATCACTCAGGCATTCAAACAGAGGAATACCTTACCCATGGCACTACTGTGAAGAGGCCTCCTTCGGGGGTTATTGCTAGAATACTGATAATACTGGGAACCAGGTTTGGTGGGCGAAAGGGTTCCTGGATTGCCCATATCCATGTCACCTCCAAGGAGACTCTGCTGAAAGGTTAAAAAGGGAAAACAAGCAAATAAGGTTAATTTTTCACATTCACCACCCCCCAACTGATTGTTAGTACTTAAACCAACGCAATAAAGAAAAGAGCATCTGCTAAGCTGAAACAATTAAAACCCACCAACACAAAAAGGGAAAGAAAACAGTCGAAGAAGCTAGCACAGAGTCGGTGAATTTTTAATTCCTACTTTGGAAAGGAAGGTAGAAGGTGATTCCCTCCTAAGCAGTATTTTAATCTTTTAAGAGGACTAACGTTTTGATTTAAAAGAAAAGGGCACTTATGTAAGACTAATGTTTTCTTTATCTCTACTTAAGCTCACATCTGGGAACTATTCATGCCCTTCCTTAACAAGAACCAAGCAGCATCTGATTTTCCGAACGCACACAACTCCCCGGCTGCTGACGCTGGGGGTGAGTGGAGATAGATGCTAAGTCCACCGAGAACCTTGCCTCTGCCTCGGCACAGCGCGATCCTCCCCAGACTCACGCAGCACCCACAGAAAAGAAAATGCCAACGGTCCGGGTGGAAATTCAAACCCTCACATTAACCCCCAAAATCATAGGAACAGGAGGCTTTCTGCGCTGACAGGAACAGATTAAAGAACGTTAGGTGCCCTCTTGAGGACTATCGGAGGTTGAAACACATCCCCACAGATTAAACATTTACCTGAACACGAGAAAACTTTCACAAATATCATTAACTTATCACAGTGTGGCAAATTACTCAACCTTCGAAAATGATGACATATGAAAGATGATATAATATCACATTTTCTAAAAGCTACATAGAAACTTACCCATAACATATAAATCGTCTGATTAAGCTCTGCATTGAACACATAGTTCTTTTAATTATTCTGATGTGAAAGAAAACAAGTGTAGATGCTACCATTTATATTAAGAACAAGTTTACTATTTAATAAAGAAATTTTAAAATTAAGTACTAAAAATCTAACTTTATCGTTACTTGTAATCAACTTTTACTGACTGAACTAATTACTGTCCTTGATAAAGTACAGAATGTGTTTTCCCTAATCTAAATTCTAATCACCATGTCACTCACAACAGACTTAGGGATGCTTCACTAACACACTATTCACATGCAAAATACTCTAAATAGGCCAATTATGACTCTGCCCCTGTTCCCTGGTTAACCCGCTGAGAACTGAAAAATTTCACAAGGCAGTCACCAACTAAAACAAAGGGTCCTTGTTTTAAATTAAGGCAGTCTTTTTGATTCCTAAATAGCTCAACAAAGTGGCATGTCTGCTAGTGAAAGCAGTTGGTCAAATATGACCCATAAGCTGGAAAATCAAAAATTTAAACCTTCCCTTTCCCCTGCCATATAGCGAAATATCATAAAGAGACCCTTCCATTCCCAGGGATTTGTGAGTGTTGGATGAGTAATAGATAAAGGACTAATCAGCTACTGACAAGCTAGCTTTTGCCTGATTCCAGTTTCAGACTTTTTGAAGGGATACATAATAAACCTTACTTTGAAATAAAACTTCAAGGGTGAGATTTTAGGTTGGAAGCGCATTTTGAGTAATCAGCTCACTGTAAGTATCTTAATATCTACCAAATAAATAGCCAATAAAAACCAGATTATATACCAGATAAAAATCTGGCATCCACATGCTCAATTACTGTCTCTTCTGAATTTAAGATGTCAAAATGCTATGCAATGACAAACTAAAATACAGAGCTTTTTATAATCAACTTTTCTACAAAATCAGGAATCCAACAGTATATCATCAAATGATTTCTTTGTCATTTTAAGAATAGCATTAAACATTTTTAGAACCTCAATCAAAAATCTTGATCTTGGTAAATCTTATTAACGAAGTCTATATAATATTTAAGTCCAAATCCAAATTTTCTTTGAAATTTTCATTAATAAATCTGCAGATGATTTAAATCACAACCTCTTATAGTTTGATAAATCTACAAATGAGTCTTTATTTCATTGGAAATAGGAGTTTAAAATTATATTATTGATAATATTTTTGTACTTTACTTTTTAATTAAATTTATTGGGTGACATTGGTTAATAAAAATATACTTAATATACACTTAAGTTTCAGTGAATAACTTTATAATAAGACACCTGCATATGCCATGGTGTGCTCAACACCTGAAGTGCAGTCTCTTTCCTTCACCATATATTTGATCCCCTTTACCTTCTCAGTCCTCCCCACTCTCCTTCCCTTCTGGTAACCATGGATTATCCCATTTCTTCATGTTTATTTTTCTAAAATTATACAAAATATTCAGAAAAGTGCTGAGCAGATTTTTTAAATGCTTGTCTTTTTAATAAGCTTAACTACTGCTTTATTTTGTTGGTACTGGTGGCAAAGGTTTTCACTCCCAAGAAAGTAGATGCATTCAATAAGTCAACATAAAAAGAAAAAAAAAGAAACTTGCAATACTGTATTTTAGCAGCATTCGCAATAGAGCTGTGAAAAATATAAAATGATAACTAGACGGTAGCTAAGAGCCTGTGGCTCACCTTATTGTTGTGAATGTAAAAGAAAATTATTTCATGGGCCAGTTGTAAATAGATCATGTATCCGACTCTAGAATGTGCAGCCCGCCACATGAACTGTGTAGAGTGACTTAGTCTAAAACCAGACAGCGCCGACAAACATTTAGTGGCTCATGCTAATCTCTTTTTTTACAAAGCACATTTCTGTGTCTATCTTTTTAGACTTGTTTGTTCCTTTTTCTTTTTCACTTGACAACAGAATCATTCTTCTAATGTAACAAAAATAAGCATTTCCTCACACTTAAGGGGGCCCTATTCAGCCCCCAGGGAAAAATCAAGATAAAAATATATGTGTTCTCATTGTAGAGTATACTTGTGAAATGAACAATGACCATTGACTATTGTTTGGCCTTTACGTCACACACTTAACTGTAGCAATAAGAAAGATAAAAAAATTTTCCACCAGCTGAAAAATCGGAGTTTACAAACTTAAAAAGATAAATTAATTTGATTGAATAAGGTAAATTAAGTATTGCATAAAATGGACAAGGAATTCATTTACATACGAATTTTCCTACATGTAGTGTAAAGACAAATTTATGGTTAATAAATGTTAAGGTTGAAAGGGAAAGTCTACTTTTAAATGGGTCAATTTCTCTTTGCCTTGTACAGGGTTAGCGAGGTTTGAGGTTTTGACACTGTGCAAGCTCATGCTCTGCGGTTACCCTGGGTCCCAGTAGAAGGCTGCCCACGTCTGCCAGGAAACACTGGAAGCAAGATGTGGCATCTCAAAAAGCGAACCTGTAAATCTTAAACCCATGGTTTAGCATTTGCTTAACTGTCTGCAATGTGATGAGATGAGCTCTTCCCCTTATTCTTTCCTTACTTTATTGAAAGATAAACAATTTTAAGACTCAAAATACTCTAATCAAAGTATTAAATAGGTGGATATTGTCGATCAGGTTTAAATATTTTGGGGTCTACCCCCGGCAGCCAATTCTTCAGCAGAGGGCCAGTCCCAACATAGCTACTCCAATGCCAAGTGCAGCATTCTGTGAGGGTCCCTTTCAATTAAAATTTTTGTTTGTTTTACATCAGATCTGGGTTTCAGACTGTCTTTCTAACAGATTTTTAACCCTGCCCCCATTTCTTTTGGGGAAAGCTTTTTAACATACCTGATCAACAACCACTGAATCCCCCATTTCTTTTGGGGAAAGCTTTTTAACATCCCTGATCTTGGCTTATGCAACCAAGAATGCAAACCATGAATTAAAATTTGAGTAACAGAAAAGCAGCATACATCTCAAATTAGATTTATAACTGAATGGTAATCAAAAATAGAACTGACTGCTTCAAGCTTAAATTATCAACTTTTTTCTTGTTAAACTAAAATCATCTTGCTCTGAACTATTATTTCTTTTCAGTCAGCACTTTAAATGCAATGGGTGGGTGGTACATTTCTTAAAAGGAAGATTATATTTACCCTTAATTATAGATATGAGTGAGATCAGAGTACAACGAATGCTGCTTTTCTGGCTTATAATTAATTCATCTAATAGGTGAATGACCTTGAATTTCAGAGTTGGAATCTGGGAGAGAGAAAAAAAAAGAAATAGAAGGAAAAAAAAATCTCTGGGGAAGGCAAATGCGCCCCTGGATTCTTAGGCTTTCTCTGATTTTGCGTCACTCCCATTACGTTGTGATCTGATATCAGACACAACAACTTGGGGGGATGTTGTAGAACAGAGAAAAGCAGTCTCAGATGAAACCAGATTAAGCTCATTTTCTGAACTATTGCCAAATGCTTGTGAGTCTAATTCATGTTTGGGTATTCTAATACTCACACAGCTGCAATTCCATTCTTTCATCACAAACCTAAGTGATGTATAGTGGCTTTGTGTGGCGAACTGACTCTATAAAGCCAGGAATTTTGGAAGGCTTTACATTAATATGAAAAGAAAATTCTGAACCATGTTAAATTTAAGAATACTGGATATATGTATAGATACCTAATAGACTTTTCAGCGCTAAGCGCAAAATTCATACTGAGAAAAATTAAAAATTACATTTGTTTAAAACTCTTAAAAAAAAAAAAGCACAACTGAGGTCATTTCTACATAGCTAATTCTGCACAGAATTGGGTTTTCAAAGACACTGCTGAATAAGATTCCTAACAGCCACGGGGAAGTTTTTGCAAATCCCTGTCGAATAGCTGCTGCTGAATTTGCCATTTTGACCACAGAAGGGCCATTGCTGACTTACTACAGTAGCAGGAGGGGACGATAATTTTGCTGCTGTTGGCACTTACTCTGCAACATAGAATATATCTTGCACCAAAGGGCAATGAAGAAGGCAGTATTTCCACCTGTCCACTTTTGAACTTCAAAGCTCAAAACTGAAGGTCAGTCCATGGACAGTCTTTAGTCCTCAACCTGAAGTTCCCAGAATGCACTTTTTTTGGTTTATTTTGATTTCTGTCCTATGCCTGATTTCAACAAAGGA